GGCTTTCGGTGGACTCAAGGTGTCGTTCTGGTCCTGATTGGAACAGGTTTCCAGACGCAGTGCATGTAGGAGTGGAATATTGATTTCCCTCCGAGCGGCTTTCTGCTGAGGTGAACGTCTGCTGCCCTCCTCCATCAATCATCGCCTGCAGGGGGGCCACCCAGAAGTCTACAACCGTTTTCCGAAAGACACCCAAGCTCCTTTCACACCTCCATCTGAATCTGAGAACCGTCCAGATCTTTCTATATACTGAACGGACTGTTAGTTCCTGGGTAAAAAGTCTGTAATGTGGGACTGAGGCTGGGGAAAATGGCGTGAAAACCGGACCTACCTTTGGTGAAAAGAAGTGCCATTTATACGCAAACAAGAACGTCTTATTTAAGAGACAATGAAAACTTCTGTCTGAAAGGGCCGATGCCGAATCCCCCGTCAAGAGACTCGGTTGTTCAAAACCTCATCATGAACCGGCTTCATGGCCGCGGTGTAATGCGAGTCATTTCATGCCTCCTGCACGCTTAATGCCGGCGTTTCCTCTTGCGAAAAACCGAAAAGACGGAGTATGAGGAGGCGTGTGGCGCAGTGGATAGAGCCTTGGTGTTGGGATCAGGGGGTCAGGTTCAAAACCCCACTGCAGTCAGCATGTCGTTGTGTCCCTGAGACACTTCACCCCAAATTGCTCCTGTGGAGATTGTATTGAGTATGAAAGTCGCTTTGGATAAAAGCGTCTAACAAGTGACATGTAATAGTAATAATAATAGTATTTCTAGGAATCGAGGAATCCTTCTGATACGGTCAATCTCCTGTAGTCTGCTGCATGCGTGAACGGGAAACTCACGGACATGGAGGAGCTGATTCTACAGAGTCCAGGAGAAATTGGCTTCAGACACATTACTGTATGCCAGCATTAGATTCCACTCTCGGTCAAATGAGAATCCTGCAGATTCAGGACATATCCATGTGTGTATCTGATCACACAGTACAATGCAAGCATGATCACAGTGCTGCCATACTGCATGCAGTGTTATTGTTTCCTCTCTATATGCCTTCTCCTCTCCTCCTTCCTCCCCCCACCCTCTTAACCCCTCTTCCTCAATCAATCCCCTGCACAAGCCGCCAACACTATCCCTGCTGCTTAGACATGCTGTGGAGCTAAAGCCAAGGAAACAGCAGCAACATACAGTCTGCAGGGAGGAGGGGGGAGGGTGAGGAAGATGGGGGGGGGGTTCTTTGGGAAGGAAGCCAATCCAATTACAGGCAGCGGTGCAGCCCTGGTTTCTTTGGCGGCACTAAATTCCCATTTCAACGGTGTCTTCCTCCTCGTCCTCCCTCCCCCAGTCACCTTCCTCCTGCTCCTTTCTCCCCGTTACTAAGACGCTACTTTTCTTTTCAGCTGCTTACCCAGAAGTCCTTTCACTTGTTTTTAAAATGGTTTTATTTGAACATATTAGCACTTGTAGATGTTTTATCTTGTTCTGTGTTCATTTTAATATCATTTGAATATTGTTGTTGTGTTTCCTGTAAAGCACTTTGGGCTGCTTTGTGCATATACAAATACAGTTTATTATTATACAATGTTGTTTTTAAACTATTCTGTATCTCTTGTATGCATGCTGTCATGAATCTGTTGTTCCATTGTGTTTATTTGTTGTGTCCCTTTCTGTTGTCTTCTTATTAAATGTTGATGTAAGCACTTTGAATGACCTTACCTCCCTTTTCTTTTTGCCGCTGCTTTTAATTGAACTATGCATGTCTCACACTGCACTGTAACTTGTATTCATGTACCTGAGTTATTCATGTTATCTCTGCTTTTAAATTAGCGTGTTTAACATGTTTCTGCTGCAATATTTCTTAATGCTCGTAATGTCTTCGTAAAGCACTTTTAATTGCCTTGCGTTGAAAGGTGCGATATAAATAAACGTGCCTATACTCCTCTTCACATCCTGTGAATGTGCAGCCGCCCCTTCCCCACCTGTCCGTCTCTCTTGGTTCCATGAAGGTATATGAGCGGGAAAGCATCACATGGTGTCACCCTGTAGCCGTTTCATGCTCAGATCTAATAATAATAATAATAGCTTTATTTTATATAGCGCCTTTCAAGGGACCCAAGGTCGCTTTACAAACTAATTTCTGAAGGTAACTGCGCCTCCTGCACGTCTCAGGAGTTTACCAGCCTCCTGCAGAGCTCATTGGGTCACCTGCTACTCCTGAGGGACTGTATTACACTCTTATTGTAAACATGCATATTTCAGAAACGCATGAGCAATGAGAGAGTGCATACTGTCAACACAAGCCATTAAAACACCATCATTGCAATTCATTATCCAAATACAATCTCCTCAGCTCTGACCATCTCATTCTGTTCTCAAAAATGTTGTTTTTCCAATTTCATACACCTGTATTTTATGTGTTTTAATTGTTCATATGATAGGAAATGTTTTCGTGTATCTGTCCAGGGACTGCAGATAGCATCTATTCTCTTTTTGAGATGATTGTATTTTAATGCAGGGTCCTTGTTCAATAAAGATATCATAATACGAAGCAGCCTCGTTCTACGACTGCAGCCTTATTGATGAATTATTACCTATCAGGGTTTCGGGTTAAGTATTTCCTTTGCCTCCCTCTCTTCCACGTCCAGCAGACGGACAGGTGTTTGCGTGCATGCAAATCCCGACCAGCTCTTGTCCAATAACACACCTGCATGCAAACACTGTGCACAGCTGTGTGTTATCATGTGATTTCAAACAAAGCAGGTTCAAATAACGTCCAGAAAGTTCCAGCACTGTTCCAGCAAACCATCAATGTTTGATTAGACTAAAAATACTTAGCACGGAGAATTTGTGGTATTTCCGTCTTATTCTCACTGTTTGATAGCTCTTCTCCACGTGCCCTTCTCACATCGAGGTTACTTCCTCCCCCACGCCCCTCTGAGGACACAGCAAGGCTATTTTGCATAGATTCTAAAACAGGAAACAGAAGATAGGAGAAAATAGGCTGGGGGGGGGGGGGGAGGAGATAAAAACAATATGCAAGCAACTGCAACACAGCGGGGGAAAACACTCTTTTCTGTCTCATCTCATTTAGAAAGAGGGTGGTACATTATTAAAGAGCTCAAACTGGGGATTACATGGAATGAACATCCCTTCCACCGCGGCCTGATTGGTGTATCGATTTAATTATGAATAGATGGAGACCAAAATAGCTCGAGCCAGCACTGTTTGTGTTGTGTTGCCACTCCGGGCCTGAAGCAGCGGGAGAAGTTGCCAAGAGATGTTTCCCAACGATTTCAACAACTCTCTTCCCCCGTTTTTTTAAAAATCTCTTCCTCCGAGCTTCACACGGCTGCTGTTGGTACGTGTGTTCACTTGGCTGCCAGACGTACTAACAACCCACTGAAAGCCCAGCATCAGGCGACCAAAACGCAACCATACAAGATTACGATACGATAACGATACGATAATACTTGAATGGTCAGATCGAGTCTGAAATGTGACATGTGTAACATCAACAGACACATATCAAGACACAATATGTGAAAAAAACATTTCACATAACAGCACAATCAGTGAGAGAAAAGCTGCTCCTTCAGCGTGCATCTGATCTGGATTCAGCTCTGTGTTTACTGAGAGGACCGACTGGAGCACAAAGGATGCTTCAGTCTGACCTTATTGTACCGCGGGACCCTGTATCTCCGATTAGATGGCAGCAGTTCATAATTATATTCATTAAACCACAGCATTTTAAAAATCAGCAAAAAAGACCAGTGCCAATCCCCATTTCTGATTGACACCCCTCATAACACCTTGAGAATAGCACTCACTTTTCCTCACCCTGCAATCCTGTCAGTGAGCAATCTCATCTAATACCTTGTTTCCTGTGGCTGGGCTGCCAAATCTATCATTATGAACGGGCCAGCAGCCCTTAACCCCCCGTGGCGTTTGTATTCTCGCACCGAGAGGAAGAGGTTTAGAGACCGGGCCAGAGGCAGAAAGGTGCCTATTAAAATTAATGGGCCAGCGCAGGTTACTCAACACCAGAGCTCACTTAACAGGAGCTGACCACTGGCCGGCAGCCCTCAACGCTCTGACAGCCCGCATTAAATATTCAGGAGATAAGTTTCTCTGTGACCATGATCCATCTGGAGCACTTCACACACTCTGCACCCTGTGGGACCTGCACACAGTGTTTATATCACACTGACTCCTCCAACAGGCGTTTAAAGAGGACCTATTCTGACCATTTTCAGGTGTATATCAGTATGTAGTGTCTCTACTTTAAAGAGTCCTCTCCTGCTGATGTTCAGGTGTATATCAGTATGTAGTGTATCTACTTTAAAGAGTCCTCTCCTGCTGATGTTCAGGTGTATATCAGTATGTAGTGTCTCTACTTTAAAGAGTCCTCTCCTGCTGATGTTCAGGTGTATATCAGTATGTAGTGTCTCTACTTTAAAGAGTCCTCTCCTGCTGATATTCAGGTGTATATCAGTATGTAGTGTCTCTACTTTAAAGAGTCCTCTCCTGCTGATGTTCAGGTGTATATCAGTATGTAGTGTCTCTACTTTAAAGAGTCCTCTCCTGCTGATGTTCAGGTGTATATCAGTATGTAGTGTCTCTACTTTAAAGAGTCCTCTCCTGCTGATATTCAGGTGTATATCAGTATGTAGTGTCTCTACTTTAAAGAGTCCTCTCCTGCTGATGTTCAGGTGTATATCAGTATGTAGTGTCTCTACTTTAAAGAGTCCTCTCCTGCTGATGTTCAGGTGTATATCAGTATGTAGTGTCTCTACTTTAAAGAGTCCTCTCCTGCTGATGTTCAGGTGTATATCAGTATGTAGTGTCTCTACTTTAAAGAGTCCTCTCCTGCTGATGTTCAGGTGTATATCAGTATGTAGTGTCTCTACTTTAAAGAGTCCTCTCCTGCTGATGTTCAGGTGTATATCAGTATGTAGTGTCTCCATGCTTTAATGTTCAAAAAGCTCTTTATTGTTCTCATACTGCCTGTGCTGCAGCACCTCTTTTCACCCTCTGTCTGAAACCAGAGCCCCAAGCGACTGATTTTAGTCTTTGCAGACCATTTACATGCACAAAAACGTGGGCTTACCTTCTTCAGGCGTCCGCTCTTGGTTCCCACGAAGGCCACGCAGTATCCGTTGTAGACGTACGAGGTCACAGAGGTCATGCGGTCCCGGGTCTCGGTGTACAGAGTGTGACCGGTGACCAGCTGGGACCCCCCGAGGGGCTGGTTGATGTCCAGACCGCAGAACGAGTCGTCGATGGGCACCGGCTGCACACAGAGGGGAGATAAAGAAGCGTGAGTCACAAGCTCCTCCAACAATGCAGAATACATATATATATGGTGAAATAAATCAGATGAAGGCGACGGTTGGGAAAATACTGAATGTCCTCTTCCAATATGAGAGTCCACATGATAACAAAGGTATCAACTGTAGCTGTGTACATGACAGGATGTATGATTACCTAGAAGAGCATCAGGACTGTTTGAGGCATATGATAGCTATGTGATTAACATGATGATTCAGCCTCTATGGAGATAGACATATGACAAGCATGATCATTTCTGACGTGGAGCTAATCTGAAGTAAACATTGAATACTGCTTTCTATTCCTCCATCTTGTGACTGTGTAACTCCCTCTCTTGGATATCAGCATGTGAAGGACACTGTTCAGGAATTAGTTGATGCTCTGTGTGTGATGACTACTTCCATTCTGGAGAGGATCACAAATACATGGATCCTGAGATTGAAGCTCAAGCCGGGGACCAGTGATTATTAACATTTTTAAGTATTCAGTCAGAGAAAAAGTCAGAATTTTGAGATTTTTTTAAAAAAGTCAGAATTTTTTTGATTTATTGAGAAAAAGTCATATTTTTGAGAAAAAGTCATATTTTTGAGAAAAAGTCAGAATTTTGGGGAAAAGTCAGAATTTTTGAGAAAAGTCAGAATTTTTGAGATTTTGAGAAAAATACCAACGAATTCTCTTTTTTTGTTTTGACTACTTCCATTCTGGAGAGGATCAGGAATACATGGATCCTGAGATTGAAGCTCAAGCCGGTGACGAGTGATTATTAACATTTTTAAGTATTCAGTCAGAGAAAAAGTCAGAATTTTGAGATTTTTAAAAAAAAGTCAGAATTTTTCGATTTATTGAGAAAAAGTCATATTTTTGCGAAAAAGTCATATTTTTGCGAAAAAGTCAGAATTTTGGGGAAAAGTCAGAATTTTTGAGAAAAGTCAGAATTTTTGAGAAAAAGTCAGATCTTTGAGATTTTGAGAAAAATACTAACGAATTCTCTTTTTTTGTTTTGACTACTTCCATTCTTGAGAGGATCAGAAATACATGGATCCTTAGATTGAAGCTCAAGTCGGTGACCAGGGAGATTTTTTTAACAGCGACAGAGAGGCAGAGCGTGGGTGGAAGTGTTGTGTTGCAGTTTGAGAGTCGGAAACGAGGGGTGAGGCAGGTGAGGGGGGGGGGGGGGTCAGAGCGAGGTGAGTCTCCGCTCGGCAGACATGTTTCAGCTCCGCCTGAATAACTCCACCTTGCTCTCCTCGAGGCTCATTACCCCGGCCTCTCATCACACTGTGCACGAAGACGCTGGCTGCATGATAACACCGAGAAACTGAGATATGCATCTGAGCCGGGAGCCGTGTTTACCTTTTCATTAGCAAATAATCACCGCCATAAAGTCTCATTACTGCAGTTGCTGGGAGTGATTGTACCGCATTTCTTTGATAGTGAAAGCTGGATGCTGCAGAGTGTCTCAGAGTAAAGGTCTGGAGTTGAATCAGGTCACAGAGACAGAGACAGTGGCCTCAAAGTGCCATGTGGAGTCAAAGGAGACGGCCACACTTTATCTAAGCCACACTCACACTGCAAGCCGTAGTGCTGCATTCAGATCATCTGCATTTCTTTGCTGTCCTTTAAATATCAAATCCAAAAGGGACGTGATAGCTTTTCCCAACCTCTTACTAACCTACTCAATATGTGAATTGAGAAAGAGGGAGACATATTTGATTACAGGGCTCACAATAAGGATTGCCCGCTTGCACAAAGCAAGTCAAATGCCAAATATGAGTTCTTCAAAAGATACAAATAGGAATAGTTGAGCCATCTCACTTCCTTCTTTTCTTTAGTGAGAGTTAGCGTTGGCTCAAGCTAAAAGTTTAAAGTTTAAGATAAAGCTATCATCCTGATAATCCCGTTATATGTTATCCACTACTCCCCGAGCCTGTATATATATATATATATACTGTATATATACCCCCCTCTCTTAATGCCTGCGCTGTATATTATATCAGTCTCTGCTGAGTGACACGTCCTCTGAGACATCCTCTCTCTACGCCACGGCAGTAAAGCCTGTCTTTACTGCACAGATTTCATGAGCGGAACAACAGCAATATTGCTGACAGGAGACAATCGCCTCCGCTCGTACAGTCCCTCCTCCCCCCCCCCCCCCCCCCCCCCCCTCTTCACTTCATGGCTTTCCTCGTCCTAAAATAGCTCAGAGTGCCGTGCTGCAGTATTTAAAACATGCACTCCATTCTCTTATGCTCGTCAAACTCCTTAAAGCTAGTTTTAAACATGCAGATCAGACTGAGCGATGGGGAGCAGACTGAAAGGCTGCAGCTCTGTTGGGACGCAGAGCATTTGCTGGTGATTATATCTAGATTGTTTAGATGATGAACGCCTGGCAGACTCAGATCCCCTGGAGTCCCTGAGCTTGCAGGAGTTTTTCTCGTACACCTACTTGGTGTTTTTTTGGCTTCCCCCTGCCTTATCGTAAAAAGATCTCCCCAGCAGTGGAGAACAGTCTCAGATCTGTAGCCGAGACTAAAATAGACCCTGTGTGAATAATCCTTATCGAACAACACGGTATTTAATCTATGCAAGAGAACGAGTTTTCAACATAATCCTGTAAAACAATAACACAAAGATTGCAGTCTTCTGAATGGATGCATTACAGGATTCCTCTCAATACGATAATAATGAGTTGAAAGGGTATAAGCAGAAAGCGATAGGATGACGGCGTCAAAAAGAGACACAAGGAGAAGGAAACCCATCATGGCAGAGACGCTGTGAGTCTCCAGATGGCAGCAGGCTGGACCATCAATCTTTGATTGGCTGCTGTGTCTGAATCCCAGCCTCATGTACACTCAGAGGAACGTGTGCAAAAGGCAACGCGAGCTGAGTGTGTAATTAAGGCTTCCTGCTGTTAGAAGCGGACCACAGGAAAGGCCCAGGTATGTGTGATTTACTTAAAGAGGACCCAGAAAACACACACCGTCTCTGGGGTCGATCTCACCTCATGTTTGCATGGATCTGAGGCTCTAAAAATACCGCACAGTGAGGATGGGGAATATGTTTATTCAAGAAACACAACATGTGGAACACTTTAAAGCCGCCACACTGTGCGAGCGGGGGGGATTCAACAGCAAGCGGGCGACGTGAGCATGGCTGACATATCAAGTGGGTAAATGTAATTTGTATAGGCTTTAAGAGTTCCTCATCCATTGACTTGTATCTGCATAATCCATATTATACTGTGGCTTTATTGGCTGCTCACTGAGCACGAGGACATGCTCTGTGTTTCTTATGGATGTGGGTACAAGAATACATGCAAGAAAAAACGGTGTTCTTCAAGATTTCACAGTGAGCAGTTGATAAACAATAATATTTGTGTGGATAAGAGAAACTCTCGCTGGAGGGAACACATGGATTTGAGCCTTTGCAGACCATTTACATGCACTAAAACCTATAACACACACAAGAAAGGGAGAACCCCAAAGAAATCATACTAGGGTTTCTCATAGACTTCTATTGTCATACTGTGGCTTTAGTGGCTGCTCACTGAGCACGAGGACATGCTCTGTGTTTCTTATCTCTGGGAAAAGACATGAAAAGTGTGTGTTTCCTCGGTGTGTAATGTAAAAGCAGTTATTGTCAGTGTGTGTGCAGTGTGTGTGCAGTGTGTGTGCAGTGTGTGTGCAGTGTGTGTGCAGTGTGTGTGCAGTGTGTGTGCAGTGTGTGTGCAGTATGTGTGCAGTGTGTGTGCAGTGTGTGTGTGCAGTGTGTGTGCAGTGTGTGTGCAGTATGTGTGCAGTGTGTGTGCAGTGTGTGTGCAGTGTGTGTGTGCAGTGTGTGTGCAGTGTGTGTGCAGTGTGTGTGCAGTATGTGTGTGCAGTGTGTGTGCAGTGTGTGTGTGCAGATTAGAGTGGGAGGGGCAGCTCTGCAGGTCCACAGCACACTGAGATGATTGGGACTTCTTGTGGAAAAGGTGCTAATTTAAACTCCCACAGCTAGGTAGCAATGTCATCTGCATACACTCCCCCCCCCCCCCCCTTCTCCTCCTGTCAATCACCTCTGACATCGTGCTAATGGGGAATGTTCTGATTTTAATAAGAGTGGTCGATCGAGTGACCCCGGGGGGATTAGCAACAAAGGACGCTGATCAGTGGCTCTCATCCTAGTAAGGGGTATCATTAAAGCTAACACACCCACACACACACACACACACACACACACACACACACACACACACACACACACACACACCCACACACACACCACACACACACCACACACACCACACCACACACACACACACACACCACACACCACACACACACACACACACACACACACACACACCACACACCCCCACACACCCACACACACACACACACACACCCACACACCACACACACACACCCACACACACACACACACACACACACACACACATCATTAAGTCTGAATATTCCTAAATTCCTATTAGCAATTACAGCATGAAAGCACAGAGGACAGGACTCTCCTGGGATCGGGGGGAATCAAGAAACTTAATTCTCCTTGACAACATGCAGCAGATACATGGCCTTGCTTTACACCATGTATCCCCCCCCCCCCCCCCCCCCCCATTACTACTTTATCTGGTTGCATTTGTTTGTATTTAGCTCGAGGAGATTTGATGGCTTTGATGGTGGTGCAGAAACACATTCCCCTGTCCTTCATATCTCATTGAAATGCACTGGAAAGTGGACGCTCTGTGATATCAGAGCCGCAAAACAATTTGACAAAATCACATGTAGTGTGTGAGTCATTTGATAACAGACAGAGTGTTATCCGAAGCGATGAAGAGCGTTTAACGGAGGATTGCTGTGTTTATTTTCATTACAGCACACGCCCTCAAAAACTCTAAATGCTTCTCGGCTCATTGAGAAGTTTTGGTCATTCCCAAACTGCTCGAGAGGGGAGGAAACAAGAAGGGGGTTTCTGCTCCATTCAGGGTCCTCTTGCCTCTCATTGGTTGAAAGCTGATTCAATCTCGGACAGAAAACAAGTCTATGGGATCTCACTACACGCTCAGTTATCTGTGCAAAAGTCAACTGTCGGAGTGGTGACATATCCCAATAAGCCACGTGCAAAATGCATATTTCATTGTATAGGTAATAAATAGTATATGTGACCCCATTCACACAACATTAATCCTTAGCTTTGAGTTAAATAAAAGGACATTTTTTGAATTATTTTGACTAGACTTTCACTCTTTTTCTCAACATTAATTTGACTGTGATTTGCTTTTTCATGAACTCTAACATTAAAGTTGTACTCGTAAATCTGCTGGTATTTATTAATGTATTTGTATGCATGGCCAATATAGACCTCATCACACAATGTTAATCCTTAGATTTGAGTAAAAGTAGAATTTGTGGACCATAAAATACGTCTTTTTCTCAACATTTATTTGACGGTGATTTGTATTTTAGTAACGTTATAGTTTTACTGATAAATGTGATTAATCTTTTTGTATGCACTGTCCTTGTTAAATAAAGACATCATAATCAGAGGAACATATCTGAATGGATTATCACAGACTGGTGTATGTAAAGGTTTAGTCAGGATTCAGTTTTGACACCAAATATGCTATACATGTAAATAAAACATGTGATCATTATGTCATTTTTGTGGCATTTAGATAAAACAACACCTTATTCCAACATGTAAACATTCAGAAACAGGTGAAATGACTGCAGGAACTCACCGCCTTGGTGCACTGCACGTCCTTCCCCAGCAGCCAGTTGAGCTCCAGGTTTCCCTCGCCCTGGTAGCAGGACTGCAGGCGCTCCTTGATGCGAGCGTTGATGTCTTTGATGGTGAACACGCAGAGCGCCGAGTCGTCTGGCGGCCGGTGGAACTGCTTCTGTCCCTTCGAGAAGACGGTGAAGAGCACGTCGTCCGTGGCGCTGATGTTGAGCGAGGCGGCGAGGAGACGCCCCGGCTTTCCTAGGTTAGCGGCTTGAAGCAAACGGTATTCCACGCCGTTCTTCACACAGCCGATGGGTAAGGAGACGTAGGAGTGGAACTTGCGATCGTCCTTGCAGAGGCGGACGATGCGCGACGTGTAGAAGAGGTCGTTGTTGGAGCCGCTCGATGACATGCTGTTCTCCGGCGTCTCCGGCTGCACCGTCAGGAAGTAAACAAAGCCGCCGCTGGCAAAGCCGTACACGTAGTAGATGTCGAAGTGAGACACCAGAGCCAGAGTGTCCGACGGGATCTTGATAAGCGAGGACACAAAGTCGGTGTGCATCTCGTAGTCCAGCATGTCCGAAGACTCTGGATCCCGGGGCAGCTTCCGACTGGAGATGGTGGGAAAGTAGTCCTGCTTCCCGTCCACCGCGGTGCCGATGAACAGCGTGCCGTCCTGGCCCTGCGACGGCACGATGACGCCGTACATGGTGCCCGTCTGGTTCACGCTGGAGAGGTAGTGCTCCTTCTTGTGGGACGGCTCCACTAAGATGAAGAGGTCGTCCAATCGGAGGAGTTTACAGACTCCCTGGTAGAGGCTGCCGCACGCCAGCAGCCGGTTCTGGGAGTAATCGATGAGCAGGAGCTTGTTGACGTTGTTGGTGGAGACCAGGGGCTCGGAGCAGGGCTGGACGATCAGGGGTGGGTAGCAGGCCTTGTTGTCGTCCTCTGGGCCGGTATCATGTGACACCAGGAGGGTCAGGTTGCCCGAGAGCTTGTAGACACGGTTAACGGCTCCGATGTAAAGCGCACCTGTTGTCTGGTGGACCCTCAGGTGGTTGAAGAGCCAGTCCCGACGCTCAGGGTGGAAAGTAGTGAATGTTTGCCCAGTGCAGAAAGCGGGGGCCACTAAGAGCCAGAAGCCAATCAGAGTGGCTAACGCTCCAACTTTAGGGTCCGCTGATAAAGTCCTGCGTGAAGCCCGCCGGCCCTCCATGATTAACGGCTCCGCGAGGAAACTGGAAGCAGAGAAAATGGACGATGGGAAGAAGCAGAGAGGGGAGCTTTGCCTTTTTTGTTCTGAAGGCTAACGTGCAGGTCAAATCTCCACGGGGGTCTTCACATGTTTCTGGAAAACAAAACAAAAAGAAAAGAGTGTTAGATATCACAGTATGACTAAACATCCTGCGGAGGAAACACGTCTGACTCAAGTGGAAAACGCTCTTCATTAGCTTTCACTGTTGGAAGAGGTCAGCGGTCATCCTCAGTGAGGCGATGAGCTGCAGAGGAGACAATGAGAGGAAACCATAACGCTGCCGAGGACCCGCTGGACAAAGAGAGGCAGGTTACAGGAACGGAAATGATCCTGACCTGACTCACACTGACTCACACTGACTCACAGTGAGACAGCACTCTAACAACTCAACTCCACATACAGCCTGGGAGGAGTCTTTGCAATGACTCATCAGACTTAAAGAGGCCCTATTAGGCTTTTTGGGGGGTTCCCTTTCATCACTATGTAACACTTGCGCTTCTATTGGCTAGCACTCCAACCCATTGTACGTAATAGGCTAAGAGGCAGGACATCTCTAAGCAGGTTGACCAATCACAACAGAGACGACCAGTTAACCAATCAGAGCAGACTGGGCTCTGGTTTCAGACAGAGGGTGAAAAGAGGTGCTGCAGCACAGGCAGTATGAGAACAATAAAGAGCTTTGTGAACATTAAAGCATGGAGACATGTAGAGACACTACATACTGATATACACCTGAACATCAGCAGGAGAGGACTCTTTAAAGTAGAGACACTACATACTGATATACACCTGAACATCAGCAGGAGAGGACTCTTTAAAGTAGAGACACTACATACTGATATACACCTGAACATCAGCAGGAGAGGACTCTTTAAAGTAGAGGCACTACATACTGATATACACCTGAACAGGAGCAGGAGAGGACTCTTTAAAGTAGAGACACTACATACTGATATACACCTGAACATCAGCAGGAGAGGACTGTTTAAAGTAGAGACACTACATACTGATATACACCTGAACATCAGCACGAGAGGACCCTTTAAAGTAGAGACACTACATACTGATATACACCTGAACATCAGCAGGAGAGGACTCTTTAAAGTAGAGACACTACATACTGATATACACCTGAACATCAGCAGGAGAGGACTCTTTAAAGTAGAGACACTACATACTGATATACACCTGAACATCAGCAGGAGAGGACTCTTTAAAGTAGAGACACTACATACTGATATACACCTGAACATCATCAGGAGAGGACTCTTTAAAGTAGAGACACTATACTGATATACACCTGAACATCATCAGGAGAGGACTCTTTAAAGTAGAGACACTATACTGATATACACCTGAACATCAGCAGGAGAGGACTCTTTAAAGTAGAGACACTACATACTGATATACACCTGAACATCAGCAGGAGAGGACTCTTTAAAGTAGAGACACTACATACTGATATACACCTGAACATCAGCAGGAGAGGACTCTTTAAAGTAGAGACACTACATACTGATATACACCTGAACATCAGCAGGAGAGGACTCTTTAAAGTAGAGACACTACATACTGATATACACCTGGACATCAGCAGGAGAGGACTCTTTAAAGTAGAGACACTACATACTGATATACACCTGAACATCATCAGGAGAGGACTCTTTAAAGTAGAGACACTATACTGATATACACCTGAACATCAGCAGGAGAGGACTCTTTAAAGTAGAGACACTACATACTGATATACACCTGAACATCAGCAGGAGAGGACTCTTTAAAGTAGAGACACTACATACTGACTAATTCAAGCTTAAGTTTCTAAACTTGCAACACCCTGTTCTTAAGGAGATACATAATTAACATTAGCACATTATCATGACATAAAAGAGAGCCCTGATGTTGTTATTTGCATGCTTAACAAAAAATATTACTTTGATTTCAATCTTAAAAGATCTTACAATAAAAATAATGTGTGACCATATCCTAACCATGAATACATATTTGGATGAAAGCGCCGAAAATCGAACAATAACACAAGAGTGAGGACTAGATAAGCCCCTCTAACGAGCAAACAGCTGAAACGGTTGTCTCTCAACACAGTTATCTTTTGTCTCTTTTCTACATCCATCTATAAAAAAACATACATCAGGCTCAGTCTGCCATTCATCCCTCCGACTCTGAGCCACAGAGACCGTGAGTCCGTCCCCAGCACTTCATTATCCCGGCCAGTGGAAAAGCTAGGCCTGGATCTTATTACTGGAACAAAGTGAGAACAAATTGGAGCCACTTCCTCACACACCCCCATCCCCTCCCCTCGCTCTGTGCTCTTTGAGGCTTTCTACAGAAGTCTGAACCTTTTAATTCTTCTAAAACATTTCTATTACGTTCTTTATTATCCTTTTTATGCTATTCATCTCCTGCTGACACGATTAGAACCGTAAAGGGATTAATCTCCAGCGGCACAACAATCACGTTTTTAATCTGCACACCTCCTCCGTAGAGTATGTTGCCTCGTTCTTTATTATAATCAGAGAGCTCCATCAGAACCGAGCGTCGGAGGGTTAACATGTGGAGACAATGGCAGAGCATCCCAAAATGAAGTATGATTAGGCGTAGCGATCCAACAAGGGTAATTACCGCGGAGGTAAGCTGGGGATCGGCACGGGGACGCCGGGGGGGGGGGGCTCAGCGTGTCAGAGACGGACCTGCATCGTTTGTCACGCTTTCCACATTTGCATTTTTTTCCGGCAGTGGGGGTGCAGGGAATCAAGGGTGAGAGATGCGGCGAGAATTAACAAACACTTTGAGATAGAAGAAGGAGAGCAGGGCAGCACGGGTTGGAAAAATAACTAATTAAGAATATTTGACTGAAGTTGCAACTGTGATATGATTTGCAATATTGGAGGAAATGATTATATTAAGCTAAAATATTCTTATAATCATTTCAATTATTAAAGGGGCACTATTCTGCTCATTTTCAGGTACATCTCTACTTTAAAGAGTCCTCTCCTGCTGATGTTCAGGTGTATATCAGTATGTAGTGTCTCTACTTTAAAGAGTCCTCTCCTGCTGATGTTCAGGTGTATATCAGTATGTAGTGTCTCTACTTTAAAGATGAAACCCCCCAAACAGAATAATAGGGCCCCTTTAAAATAACCACATTGAGGATTTAAACCAAACGAGGTTATTTTTGTAAGTCTGTCTACTAATGTGTGTAGGGTTTGGACTCTCTTAGTCCATACTTTGATTTTGATTAAAAAAAACATGATTTATCGTGCAGCCACTTCAGCCACTTTTGGAGGTTTGATTTGCTGATGTGTGTCTGCCCTTTCGAGCCCTTATTCCAGACTTGGTAATGACCTCTCGACCCCCCCCCCCCCCCCCCCCCTTTTGATCAACGGGTGCGCTAGTCAGCTCAGACTTAAATATAGACCCTCGGGGAGAGTATTGATCCAGGCGTCCATAAACACGGCTCCTAAGGCCCAGTCAAGCTGTTCCAGGCGTGTGTGAGGCGCTCCGTCCCAGAAGCACTTTATTAGCATGGTCATAAAAGTGCCATTGCTTCTGAAAAAAAGCAGAAAGCAGCCCCCCCCCACCCCAACCCCCCCTCTCGTACAGCTGCCTGCACGCTGCCATGCTCCTTTGTTTGAGTTTGTACATGCTAGATGTGCAAAGTGGATCCCTTTGGAGGTATAATCAGCCTCCTGCTGAGCCAGCGCTCTGCACAAGCCCCGCAGCCTTTTGCCCTTTAGAGCTCCCGCTACACCCCCGCCCCTTAATCGTATGTGTGCATACAACATTTACTCCCATCCATCTTTCTCTTCCTCGCCTTTTTCCTGCCTCTCCTGCCCCTCAGATGTATGCATGGGTCCCTCATGTTGGGGCAACAGCTGCAGAGGCAGCGACTGCACGCTGTAAATAAAGGTTATCCTTTCATACAGATCCAGGAAATGTCTTTGTTTGAAGTGATTGCATGACCAGCTCTTTGTTGCACTTGACAGACACTCCTCTGTGCCGAAGAAGAAGAAGAAACAACGCCGCATCAGCCTTTCAACGCTTCCTGTTGTTTATGACGAGTCAGAATTAGCGAGAAGCAAATTAACATATAAATGCAACCAGGAGTGATTCATACTGAGACTGTTACCCACTGACCCAGAAGGACAGGAGGGCATGACTGAGGGAAAGTCAGCACATTACCTCAGCAGTGTTTGAACACACAGAGAACAGATGTCATCAGAAAACACATCCTGTTTCTGACAAACTGTCAACAACTCAAGCGTGTTACATGACATAAGAATATAAAGAATCCTCAGGGTATCAGGATCATTGCTGGTGCGTTCCCATCCTCATCCCACAGTCTCTTTGGCAGACGTGGAGGCAGGGAAAGAGAGAAGAGAGACTCACATTCCTGCACATGCACAGGCTGTGATCATGGCTCGGAGGAAAGCCAGGTTTTTTTTTGTGTGTAGCAAAACTTCCCATACATAATGAACAGTCAGGCACACAGAGCGGTGTTTTGGCACGCTGTTAGCCGCGAAGCTTCTGAGCGCTTGTTCAACAAACCGGTCCCTGAGAGGAGCTGCATTGTGTCTGATTATCTCGTGAAAAGACGCAGCAGAAAGCTCCAGAAATGAGAGAATATGACCTGAAGAGCTTTGCAACCCGTGGCTTGAACAGAGCCAGAATCTGGATTTAGGAAGTGTCCTCTGGATCAGAAGCAGCTGTCAAACCTCTGTGGCCCTGCAACAGGAAGCAGGTCTTTTCATTTGTATTCTCCCTCTTCGTCACCATAAAGCTTCTTAACAATGCAAGCCACATGTCCTTGATCTCTCAAATTCATATTTACAGCAATTGTGCCGCGAAAGATAAAGAACATAAACCAGAAATCCGTTTACGCAGCTATAAATCCATTGCTGTTGGATGGGAGAAGAGGAAGAAAGAAAAAAAGGCAGATTGTGATTTCACGCCTTGGATTAATGCGTTATTCCCTGAGTCATTAATGTAAAGCGTGAAATCCTAATGCTTTAAGGAGAAGTGATACACTGCCAATTAAAGAGACAGCTCGGAACACAACAAAAATCAACAAACGT